TCCCAACTATTGTTTCAGGCAACAAGGGCAGCCATTACTCAGCACTGCACGGACCTTGGAAATTCTTTGGGCAAGGAGAACGACATAGCCCTCATCATCGATGGCCACACCCTCAAGTACGCGCTCTCCTTTGAAGTCAGGAGGAGTTTCCTAGATTTGGCGCTCTCTTGCAAAGCTGTCATATGCTGCAGGTAGGCCTGCGCCAGCTGCGGGAGGTTCATATTCTGACCTGTCTGTGTCTTGTATCTATAGAAAAGAGATCAGTGCATGGGAATTCTAGCAGTACAGACTCATAAAAAAGGCAAAACCAAAATATGAATTTAACTGTCCATTTACAGATTTGGTGGAAGACAGTTAGTGGTTATTATTTTTGTTTTGTTTATAGTCTTCTGAGAAGATAAAAGAAGAGCCAGAGACTCTAGTCATAGTCACACTGAAGGTTAAACTGGAAGAATTTCTGCCTCAAGCTGGTGTGGGAAGTTAGACAGATCCTACTACCTACTTGGTTCCTTGGTTCTGGATGGCTGAGCTCAGCTTCCAAGACCTATGGGATTTTGGTGCCTCTTTGCTGATTTCCAGTGGGTATTTCTTTTTGGTCAACAAGGAGCATTGATTGGGTCCTTGCTGTGCTAATTTTTGTGTTACAGTCCAACGAGAAGGCTTCGTTGGCTTTTCATGAAGTCTGAGAAGGTTTTTAGGGTGGGAGTTGTTACATCCCACTGGCTACTGGTTATACGAGATACAGATCTGATAAAAATTTGAAAATCAGACAGAATTATAAAGAAAACTATTTGACAGCTGAGTGCACCACCCAGAAGTTCAGTAAACAGCCTGAAAGGAGAGAGGAAGGTCCTGACTCCTGAAAGCAGTGTGTTTAGACCAGTGATGGTGAACCTATGACACGCGTGTCAGAGGTGACACGCAAACTCATTTTTTTGGTTGATTTTTCTTTGTTAAATGGCATTTAAATATTTAAAATAAATATCAAAAATATAAGTCTTTGTTTTACTATGGTTGCAAAGATCAAAAAATTTCTATATGTGACACGGCACCAGAGTTGTTAGGGTTTTTCAAAATGCTGACACGCCGAGCTCAAAAGGTTCGCCATCACTGGTTTAGACAGTACCTGGTATGGGGTGTAATGCTCTGTGCATATCATCGGATTAGTAATCTCATTAGTGCCTGCTTATATGTTGTGGCTATACACTTTTATACTTTTTAAAACATTATTTTCTATGATATTTTCTCAGAAGCCAGTTATCAGAATGCTTTTAACTTTCTCGCTACATTAACCCTTTAAGAATGCCTTGTGCTGGGTTCCGACCAGGTCACCTTAGAGTAACCAGTTGTCACGGCAAAATGGATCTTGCTATATCTGCCTTAGAAGGCCCTGGTGACATCATCTACCATGCATCTTCTCTCTACCCATACTTCTCACCACACTGCCTGCTTGGGATGCCCAGTGAGTCAGAGGGCAAGCCCACTGCCTGGCTTCAGGACAGTGATTGCTCCCAGGTCTCCTCACCACCCCCAACCCCACCCAGGTTCCTGCATGTGACCAAAGAATCTGTTCTCATTTCCCCACAAATACATCCCTCACCCAGAACCTGGAATTGTCTGTCTTCACATAATGATAGTTCTCTATCATTTTATTCTGCCATCTTGAGCCCTTTCCTTAGTTGGAACATACTCCCCAAAGGCCGAGGAGAGCTGAAGAGGTTGAGGGGGGAGCCTCTGGGCGGAAGGAATGCTGCTCTTGAGTGGCAGTTGCAGGATGTTCAAGGGCAAGGAACAAATTCAAATGTGTTTGAAACAATAAACAAGAATTCTGTGCTTTGAGTGAGGAAACTTGTGCAGCTCTGAGAGACTTGGGGTAGTGAGGATGACCAGAGCATCTGGAAATGAAATACCAGGTTCCTGGTTTTATGATGGCCTCCCTCCCTGTTTTTAAACACCTTATTGAGATACTAGAGGCCCACTTGCTTCTGCTTGCCTCAGCTGGCCGCCCCGCCCATTGCTGCTCATAGCTCACTGCCCCACCCTCCGCCACTCATAGCCCTCCTCCTCTCGTAGCTCTCCACTGCTAGTAGCTCGGGCCCCACCCCACCTGCTGCAAGAGCCACTGCTCGTTTGGTTGTGACAGTATGACAGCCACAGGCCTTTTATATAAGAGATAATTCACATACCACACAACTCCCCCAAAGTATATAGTTCAATAGCTTTAGTATATTCAGAGTTTTGTAACCATCACTACAACCAATTTAGGATTGTTTATACTTTTGACTATTATAAATAAAACTAGAGGCTCAGTGCATGAAATTCATGCACAGGTAGGGTCTCTAGGCCTGGCAGGTGATCAGGGCCGATTGGGGCCTTCTGGCTGCTACCAGGGCCCTTCCTTCCCCGGCTGCTGGCTAGGGCCTTCCTTCATTCCGCACCGCCCCCTGGTGGTCAGCACACGTCATAGCCAGTGATCGAACTCCCGGTCTCCTGGTCAAACTCCCAAGGGGACACTTTGCATATTAGCCTTTTATATATATACTAGAGGCCCGGTGCACAAAAATTT